CACACACACACACACACACACACACACACACACACACACACACACACGCACGCAACGTTTTCTCTGAGACAAAGTGTAGTATATGACAACGGTATTTGGTGCAACTTTCAGTCTACATACCGCAATAATAACCGGGCGTACTATTCGGGTGAAGAAGGTAGTAGTACTACGTCAGTAACCACTACTGCTGCTACTGCTACATCTACTACTACTACTACTACTGCTACTACTACTACTGCTACTACTACTACTGCTACTACTACCACTATTGCGCTGTCGTTGTTTCTGCTGCTTGAGCTTCAGGAAGTAGTACTGCTAGTAGTACCGCTGCTGCTGTCCCTTCCTCCTCTAAATACTACTACTTCTATCTGCTACTACGCCATGCTGCTGCTGCTGCTGCTGCTGCTACTACTACTACTACTACAACTACTACTACTACCGGTAGCACTTCTACTCCGAACTGCTACTAGTTGCTGCTGCTATTGCTACTAGGGGTAGTAGTACCTTAGCACTACTACCTTCCGTGCTCCTGCCGCTGCTGCTCTACCTACAGGAAGTAGTACTGACAGACTGCTATCGTCCTCATCCGAGTAAAACGTCTGGTCATTATCGCATCATCTAGACTAAAACTTGCCTGGAATACCGCTACAACGACCGGGTGTTCTATTCCGGTGAAGAAGGTAGTAGTATTCCTTCCTCCTCCTCCTCCTCCTCCTCCTCCTCCTCCTCCTCCTCCTCCTGCTGCTGCTGCTGCTGCTGCTGCTGCTGCTCCTCCTGCTGCTGCAGTTAAGATGTGTTATCGCTGTCTTCCCAGCTTCCCAGGGCTGTCACCACCTCCACCGGGACACATTGTTTGATATACTGTTAACACACCATCCCCCCCATTGTCCGAGTCGTCGATTGAAAGACTACAGGGAGGGATAAGTTCAATTCTCCTCCTCCTCTCTCCTCCTTCTCCTCCTCCTCCTCTTTCTTTTCCTCCTCCTCCTCCTCCTCTCTCCTATGAGCCAGTTCGTAACGTCTTTTTTTCCTCCTTTTATGTATAACCCCTACTTAACGTCGGTTAGGGGTCGTAGCGGGAAATTGGTAGTATACTAGTAAGCAGACGCGCGCACTTGTCGGGGGGGGAGGAGGAGGGGGGGGGGCAAGGTTGATGAGGCGAAAAATGCTAATCAAGCCGCAGATGGCCGATCCTGGAGACTGCCGACCAATGGGTCGCGATCCCTGTCCGGCCATCTCGGGGTTGTCTACTGCTTCAACGACCTATCACGATCCCTGGCTTTCGTCCTCTCCTCTCCAGCCAATCACGATCATCTGTTTCGCTATTAACCGTTCCTTCACTTGTCTATGCTTCACCCTTCTTCTTCATGTCTGTCTCAACCAATCCGTACTTGCAGGTGGTTATCGAGTTCATACCATCGTCAACGAGCATGCCATTCACGACGAGGCTTCTGCTCAACGAGGAGGGAGGAACACGCCAGAAGCTTTTCCAAAACACCGGCTGATTAACTCATGGAGTGGGAGTCCGAGTCTCAGAAAACTGTTGAATCCGCCTGACAGTGAGCCTCCTTCCTCCTCCTCCTCCTCCTCCTCCTCCTTACAATCACCATCGTTATCAACATCGTCCTCCGCTCCTACATCCTCCTCCTCTCCTCTTTCTCCACTCCCTTCCACTTCATTCTCTGCTTCTCAAACGCTGTCAAACGGAACTCCGAACGAGTCCTCGACGCCGCCATCGCCAGCCTCTTCTTCATCATCCACTTCCTTCTCCTCCTCCTCCTCGTTCTCCGTACCTCCTTCTTCGTCAGCAGCAGAAGCTGGAGGGTCGTCGGACATAGCCTCCGAGTCGCCATCATCTTCTACCTTCCCTGAAGCACCGGTCATCTCCAACGTTGCTGGGGCTTCGCAGGCTGCGCGGCGACAAGGGAGCAAGAGGGAGAACCAACCACCTCCCGGCGTCGTTTTTCCTGCTGCTATCATCGCTGCTATCGCTATGCTGGGCTTGGTTCTGTATGCACTTCGCCGTAAAGCCGGTCAAGATACAGACTTTCAGGACGGAAATCGCCCGACTCGGAGGACGTCGATTCTGGCATGGGCGGAAGTGGATATGGCTGAACGTGTCCGCTTTTCCCGTCTGAAACGGGCGACGAAAGACTTCGACGAAAGTCACCGCGTCAAAGGCGACGAAGATGGAGTCGGGGACATTTACCGTGGTAATTTGATAGTTACTGGATTGCAAGGCGAGGTTGCAATCAAGCGGCTGAGGGGCAGTTTCGACCTGAAGGGGGAGAAGTCCGAGAAGGCAGACCAGTTCGTCAGCGAGCTGGCGGCCATAGCCAGAGCTCGACACCGCGCCATCTCCAAGCCTATCGCTTACAGCATCAACGGCAACGAAGCTCTGGTTGTCTACGCTTTCAACACGAAGGGCAGCTTGCGCGATCTGTTGGGTCCCGGGATTCGAAAGCTGGGCGACCGGAAGAGAGACCGAGATGATCCAGTCCGTAAAATCACGAGGCTAACCTCCTTCTCCTTCCCTGCCAACGTTCTCCCATGGCCAGCTCGCGTTGAAATCGTCAAGCAGGTCGCTTTGGCTCTACGATACCTCCACGAAGAGCTGTACCCCCCTCTCTTCCATCGGAACGTGAAGAGCACGAACGTGATGGTCGAACTGAGACTGGAAGCTGAAGGTGTGCGCGCCTATCTGACCGACTTCGGCTTCGAATCCGTCGAGAATTGGACAAGTACTGGCGAGAGAACGAGGCAGAGGTTCGGCCTGAGGGAGGTGGTGGGGGTGGTGATGGGGAGAGAGAATCCTTTGGTCGCGTTAACTGGATACGAACCGAGGACTGCTGAGGTCAAGGCTTGTTCGAGACCCGTCGGCGATGGCGGCGTCGTCGTCGTCTCATCGTCGAGCTCGCCTGCTGCTCGGGCTGATGTGTACGCTTTTGGAGTCGTGTTGCTTGAGATAGTCACAGGGAGAACGGCTGTCTTCCCGACGGAGGAGGAGGATCTGATCACACTGACGGATTGGTGCAGGCGTTGGCTCTTTGCTGCAGCGGGTCAATCGTTAGTCAGAGAAATGGTGGACCCTCGAATCGTGTTGACGTTGAACGAGAGGCAATGGCAGGTTGTGAATGAAATTGCTTGGCTTGGATTAGAATGCACAAGAGACGATCCGGCGGAGCGTCCCACCACTCAAAACGTGCTGCATCAATTAATATCCATCGCCCGCTAGCCTGCGCTAGGTCGTGGATATGATACAATGTCATGCTGCTGTTCAACTACGGTACCTGTTCATCACTTCCAATAATCCAATTATTCCAATGCAATGAAAATCAATCAATCGTTTCTGGTGCGCTTTCCCTCCCCACTCCCCCTCTTCTACTGATTATCTTTCTCTACCTCTCAGTTTGTCTGTCTGTCTGTCCTCTGTCCTGTCTTTCTTGTCTGCCCAGGCTGGCTGGCTGGCTTGCCCTCTGCTTCTCTCTCTTCGCTTCTCTCTCTTCGCTTCTCTCTCTCTCTCTCTCTCTCTCTCTCTCTCTCTCTCTCTCTCTCTCTCTCTCTCTCTCTCTCTCTGGCGCACGCGCGCGCGCGCGCCGACGAGGGAGAGAGAGAGCAAGCGAGAGCGCTGGGGCTATCTCGCTGTTGAGTATGTAGGAGTGTGTAGCATTGTGTACTGTCGATAGATATGTGCAATCGCAACGGGGGAACAAAGCAGTTGCAGCAGACATATAACGTAGGTTTTTTTTGTTGTTGTTTTCCCCTCCGTATTCAACCAAAAAACTTGGGTCTGTATTCCAACCTTTCCAGGTTGTAGCAACTGAGCTAGGCCGGAGTATCTTCACTTCCTTCTTTTTTCTTTTTTCTTTTTTCTTTCTTTTTTCTTTTTTCATTTAGAAAGGGCGACGGCCTTGAGATGTCAACGTCGAACGGACGCCCCCCGGTAAATTCCGAGTCTTTTTCACTCATCTGATCCCACTGGAAGTCGAACTCGAGTCTGTGTTAACTTTCACCAGACTGAGTTCAGGGGTGTACCAACTGAGGGCATACTCACACTACGGTAGGGACCTTTTTACTTATTTCTCTATGCAATTGCTGTGGTATACATTGAGGTCCAGCCTTAACTATGGTCAGATACATCCAGGAGAGTGGTAGTGTGAGTGCACCCTGAGCTAGGCAAGTTGGTGCTCTTTTTGTTTACCCACTTACGATGTTGGAGTTGTTTAAGATGCGGTTACTCCCCCCCAAAAAAAAAAAAAAAAAAAAAAAAAAAAAAGATGCGGTTACTCCCTTCACCAAGAGAGGTAGGGTTCCCTGTATAGCCTATGCTTGCAAGGGTCCCCTGTATAGCCTTAGGAGTAGAGGCAGGTGGGTCGTGAAAGGTAAAAAGAATTCGAGAAAAGAATATAGTGTAGTTGAAAAAAAAAGAAAAAAGGATTAGGTTGTCATTTGTATTTTCTCTTTCGAAAATGACGTCAAAGTTTCCCAATTTTTATTTTGTCTTTTGAATATGATGTCAAATTTTTCAACTCCACTGCTGCGATACGTTAGGCTCATTCAACTTGTCATTTTTGTTTTTCTTTGAAACTAACCTAAAACTTCTCTAGCAAAAAAAAAAAAAAAAACTTTTCTAGCACTTTTTTTTTATTTTTTATCCTAGCACTAATTTATATGTTCGACTTGGGTTCACTTGTTCCAGATCACGACCGGTGCCTACTATCTGGGGCGAGGTCCCACTAGCAACAAGGATTGGATTGAACGCCTGAATGTAGACTTGTTCGTGTAAATGTGCAGAAATTCGAAATCGAACTGCTTTTCTGCACCTCTGCTTAAAACACGTCCAGATTCAGGAGCTGAATCCCATCCTCTTTGCTAATGGGACCTCGCCCCTGTACTACACCAGATGAATATGAAAAACGTTAACTTCTTGTTAATGTCTGGCTACCACTGGGAGTCTGGATACCAAGTCCCACTTACCTCAATTCTCAATTCCTGACTGCAGATCACAAAGATCGACGGCCGGAAGTGGAAAACCAGCGTACTAAGTGGGACTTGGACCTGGGACTCTCCCTATTACAAGGCGTCTCCACCGCAGGTTGGGACGGCCATGACGGATGTTTCATTCCGATTGAGCGACATTGAGCAGGTCCTGGCTATGGCGGTTCGGAATGAGAGACATTGATCAGGTCGACAGGACCGCTCGCTGATGCGTTGACTACCTCTTGCTATGATTTATTATTATTATTATTTTTTTTTTAATAAAGGCTAGCAGGTCC